AGAAAGAACACGAGATCTAAAAGAGGTAATAACTACCATAAGGAATGAAGAGAGATGAATCTCATGTTGGAGTCACAAAGAGTTGACAATTTAATATTTATGACTATCCATGTAGAAAGTCAAGGCTCACCTCAACAATAATGTCAATTGAAGAAGGGTAACTATAAGGATAACCTATGGTACATCTATTGTAAATTACCATAACATATTTTAGATCAGTGTTAAGAGTTTCATGGGAGATGTTTGACAAGAATCAAGTTCATCTAACTACCATGACAACTTCTGAGTAAGAGGTAACACTAGAGGCAAACACTCTTAGAGTGGTGGAAGGCTATAGCATTCAATGTATTAAGCTACTTCAGTGAGAATCCTAGATCCTTTATGTGCATGTCATATGTAATTCTTTTCTTACTTACATTTTCCATTTTAGGGCCACTGATTATAAGACTAATATTTCAAATTATTTTTTAACTTATAATCCTTACTTAAGTATTGAAAATATACAAATAAACTCTCTAAGTATAGTTAAAAGTCATATATGTTTTTAAACTTTCCACTAGTCTTATATTAATCAAAAAGATAATTAATGATATAAATTTTATACTGACTAATGATAGCAATATTCATGATAGTTATGATAAGTTGGTGAACACAAGGATTGTACATGCTGAAGAATATAGAGGTCTTTATCATCTTGAGATCTTAGGCAAACCTACAACACTGAATCATGTCAAGATGTAAAGCTGCCAAGTTTGTCCCACTTATAATTTTTTTTGTATCATCATTCCTTGAGCAATCATCCTTTAGGAGTTGTAAAATTATGCGTCTAAAGTTATTTTCTAAGATAATCATTAGAAACTTCAAATATGATGCATGTTAATTGACTAAGCATACACTAACCTAATTTTATATGATTAGTAGACTAAGTTCCACTCTATTTTTACTTATTTATAGTGATGTGTGGGGACTCTGATCTTCCCCCAATATCTTGGGACTAAGATGATTTCTCACCTTTAAATGATTACTCATGAATTACATAGATTTATTTTAAAAATTATTATAAATAATTTAAAATAAATATAAATTTAATATTTTAAAATTTAGGTTAGATAATACTTGAATTTTATTTAGTGATTATTTTAATCACACAATAACTATTTTTTAAAAATGAGGAAATTATTCATGAGAATCCTCATGTGTAATTACCTCACAAAAAAATGGGATCATAGAAAAGAAAATAATTATATAATAAAAGTAGCAAAAGCACTTCTATCAAAAAATAATGTAACAAAACTGTTTTGAAGAGAAGCTATCTTAACAAGCATACACCTTAGAAGTTTCTTATCAACTAGAAGATTGGAATTTGAGAAAACCATTAGATACTATATCTCCATTACCCATATGTCCAATTGAAAACTAATATAATTCTTAAGGCTTTTGGATGCATGACATATGTCCAAAATCAAAGATTAAGTCAAAGGAAATGTTGATCTATGGCACAAAAATATGTTTCATTGGATACACGAACATTAATAAGGGATATAAGTTTCATCATCCTCTATCAAACTATCTTTTTGTATCAACTGATATAACCTTTAGTGAACATGAATCCTTCATTAACACTATTTTTTTTCTTTAAGAGGGGAAAAAAACAGCTAAGGATGATTGTGGAACTTACACCTCCAAATCTGATCTTGGTGGAACCTCTACTTGATAGTCCTTCCATGCCACCAAAAATATCTAAGAAAATGCAATTAAATCTTCTATATTAGAGAAAAATCAAGAATACTTAAGAAAAAAAATAAATATTTTAGGAATCCAAAATATCCAATTTCTCAAATTTTCTTCTATAGATTTGTCTCCATCATATAGAATATTTATTACTTTACTTAATGTTGCATTCCATTGTATCAAAAAAAATTGAGACACTATCTTGTAACATTTTTTCAATGAAGAGATAGAAATATTTTAGAAGAATCAAATTTAGAAACTAATCAAGTTATCATAGGGAAAGGAAATAGTAGAGTGTGAATGGGTGTATACCAATAAATATAACACTGATGGCTCAATAGTAGAGTTAGAATTTTACTTTAATGATCAGCTAATTATAAGAAATATTTGATGTAAAAAATATCTTTTTACATAGAGAACTTGATGAATAAATTTGTGTGGATGTTTCTTAGAGATATGAAATCACTCTAAGAGTGATGTAGTTTGTAAATTAAAGAAAATAGTATATGAGTTGAAATAGTAACCAAGAGCTTGGTTTGTTAGATATATAAAAGTGATGCAGATGATAGATTATGTAATGAGTTCTAGAGACCATATACTATTTAGTAAACACTCACTTTTGGGGGGCACTATAGTCTTCTTTGGAAGATACAAAAAATCCAGGTCGTAAACTCATAAGAACTCCAATAGATCTAAATCATAAATAAAGGAATACAGAAAAAAGTAATCATATGGATAAGTTGAAGTATCAATGTTATGGGAAGTTGATGTACATTTTTCAGATCACATACCCGTATAGTTAATTGATGTATAACTCAATAAAAGTTTACATTTAAAGGTAAATACAACTTTATAATACTTTCAAAAAAATCCTAATATAATACAATTTTCTGTCTTTACCTTTAAAAGTTTACCTTTATATTTGATTTCTTGGGTATTATTTAAGAACAATCATATATAGATGTGGAGGTTTCTACTGATGTTGATTATGTAAGCCTATTTTTTTATTAACAGTCAACCTTGGGCTACTGTACATCCCTTGGAGAGACCTTGCCATATGGAGTGAGAGGCAGCAAGTGCTAACTAGATTGAGTGCAGAGTCAAACTTTCAAGTTATGACTCAAGGAATATGTGAAGTATCAAAGGTAAAAGACATATTTAGTGACTTTAGAATCAAATGATAGTGTTTAACTAAGTTTTATTACAACAACAAATCATCGTAAATATTGTTTATGACCTAGTACCATGTGATTGAATCAAATATATCAAGATTGATTGACATTTCATTAAACATAAATTCGATAACAACATTAGATATACATTGTATATCTTAACTCATGAGTAATTGGAAGATATTCTCACCAAAGGATTAGGTAAACTAGTATTTCAAAGGCTCACATCTAAGCTGGATTGGACAATGCATTTTTCTGTTCATGAGTGTGTTGGATCTGATTTCAGCATAAGTGAAATTAATTAACTGGATCCAACCCATTAGAATTGGTTTGGTATAAATATCTGAATCAGTTTCTTGATTTAATTAATCCTAATTTTTTGCCTTTACGGTTCTATCTCCTCTCTCATAAGTGAACATATGTTTTGGCACTAGTGGCACCTTCTCTGATGACCAGCTACCACAATGGTGATGATAGTTCTGCTTAAATGGAACATTATGAGTTCATTGAATCCAAATAAAACCATTAGAGATGATGTAACCATAGACTGGTAAGGATCAAAGTCAAACTTGAACATTATGTACTCAAAGATGTTGCTATTGAATCAAATCTCAATATTCCTCTTGAGAATTGGTCATATAGTGAAGTACTTGGATTCCTTAAAAATAGGGATATGAATCTTTGATGACTTCGTAACCTTGACATCAGGTCAGATATTAATTTTACTACCATTATAGTGGCTCTTACTATATGTCATTTACCTTCTCTTCTCTAGAGATGCCCCTTCTAAATAGTGTATGATGAGTGACTCCTTTCAATAATGTCTGGTTTTTAGCTTGTCTCAAACTGTTTTTTCCCTAAATTGTCAGCTTTCATGTACTAAATTTTAAACACAAATTTTAATGTCTTAAAATGATGAACATCCGTTGCGAAAATTAATGTGTTTGAGAAGTTTAAGAGTTTACAGTCAAATGTGACTATAAAAGTTACCAGATGAAAGATTACTAAAACTATGCAATGGATGCTCCTTTTGTAGTTCGCTGGTGAGTAGTTTAGTAACTTTTTGTTACTTTTGGTAAAAAATTATGGTTAGAAGATGTGTCTAAAGTTACGCGAAGTGTCATGCAGGCCATCCTCTGAATAATTCTGCTGTCCCAGAAATGGGGTGATATTGAATAAACCTGTGCATTATAAACACCTTTAAGTCACCTGGTGGTGCCTGAGAAATCTGTGAGGGCTTATTCGTTTGCCTGCAACCAAGTAGTCTGGGCTAAATTACACTAGTAACTTAGTCTACTAAGTATTCTACTTGACTCGGCACCTCGCACTTGGGCAAAGCCGAGCTTGCCTTCTATTCTAACCCGACTGGGTGCATCGCATTGATCCGATTCTAATCAAAACTTACCCTTTGAATGGAGGCTGACTGCTGAAGCTGTTGGAGGCCTACTGCCAGGTCGACTTGGTTCCAACACCCATCCGTTGGAAGCTGTTTGTGTGAGAGGTTATGGTGTATGTCTCGCCATCTAATTTCGCCGTACCTATATTACTTGAGTGAGGCTGCCAAGGTCTCTACGTCCATATAAACATCCTAGGAGGTAGAACGAGAGGTCCTCTGCCTGCCCAGAGATCGCCGGCGTCGACTTTGACCTTCTCTCGGATGCTATCTGGGGCGCCCGGATATACCGGTGATCTCAGTTGGGGGTTACCGTCTCAGACGACCGTTTCTGTTCTGGGAGAAACCTGTCACTATCATGGCAGGTCAAAATAATTGTGCGACCAGGTCAAGAATCAGGCAAATAGTTGAAACCCAAGGAGGTAGACCGAGAGGAAATAAGCCCCTCGATTGCCTAAATAGTCTAGCCTTTGCTGACCGCCTCAACTTCGCGACTTCTTCCCGCTCTGTGTGCAAGCAATTTTTCACCGGCCTCCGTCCTGCACATGGCCTCACTATAGAAATGACTTCCGGCTTCCTCTTTCACAACACCAATCGAACCGTAGCCCCTCCCTTTCCTGGCTCTCTAGTTCTCTTAATCCACAGGCTGCATACTCCTCTTCTTCCTCTCTCTTTTCGCCGAAAGCTTCTCTTAGTTCACTAGAATGGGATCCCTGGCCGTCGACAGCTACCGCGAGAATGCGGAGGTCTACCGCGGCGACGCCGTCTGCAAGAAGAGGATGGCCGATCTCCTGAAGGAGCTGGGCCTCCCACTGGGGCTGCTTCCCCTCGACGACCTCGAGGAACTCGGCTACAACGAGAAGGCCGGGTTCCTGTGGCTGGTTCAGAAGAAGAAACGGGAGCACAACTTCAAGGCCATCACGCAGCTCGTGTCGTATGCGACGGAGGTGACGGCGGCGGTGGAGCCCCGGAAGATGAAGAAGATAACTGGGGTGAAGACGAGGGAGATGCTGCTGTGGCTGTCGGTGGTGGAGGTGTACATCGACGATCCCTCCTCCGGGAAGATCACATTCAAGACTGGAACTGGCCTGGCAGACAGCTTCCCCGTGTCCGCCTTCGAACTGGAAGCAGAGAAAGGAAAACAAAGGGAATAAAGTTTTATGAATTGTAGTTCTGAAGATTGTATTACATCATATTTTTCATACATGGATGTTCAGATGTATTTCTATAAGTCAAGAAGTGGAAGAGATATATCTTTCTTTAGGGTTTTATTGGGTCTCTCTTTTGAGGCTCAATTAAAACCCTAAGGGGGGGGGACCTATACTTCTTTTCTTTTGGGCTTCTTTTGAGGCTTATTTAGGTCTTCAATTGAGGCCCACTTAAGCACCGTACGAGGGCCCTCCTCTTTCTCTTTTTAGGGGAGCTTATTGGGTCTCTCTTTTAAAGGCCCAATAAGCCTCTTTTGTAGCCTTTTTGTGGCTTATGGGCTTGAGGGCCTCAAGTGGGCCCACCTCCCCTTAGCCCACTTGTGGGCCCCATATAAGCAACGAATTTTGTGAGAAATTATCATTTGTGAGATACCTTCTTCATAACCTAGGATAGGGAGGTAATGAGGGAGAGGAAGGTCGTCGATACCTGAGGACTTCGTTCATCATGACGCTACTGTCGGAGAAGTCCTGCCACTGCCTAAGACCACTGCTGCCGCCGGACATCTTCATTGCCTCCCGTGAGATCGTCACCGTCACCGGATGAAACGGTCGCGATTGCCTCTACAGCCACTACTGCCTCAGCTGGAACCCTGTCACGCCGTCGTGATGAAAGGGGCTCGCTTCGCCTCCCTATGAGCCATCGACGAGCACTCCGCCAGAGTCTCTCGACTCCTAGTTCGACTACCACCTCTTCCTTCAGAACTCCACCATAAACTCGCCGAAGTCATTGATAAGTCTTCATTATCATGAGTTAATAATTAGTAAATAATATAGTTTTAGCCTTAACTCATAATAAATAGACTTATATTTGTGTTAAAGTGTGAAAAGTGGTTTTTAATTGATTAATGTAAATTTTTAGGTAATTATGTGATTATACATGAATTTATATGATTTTTACAGTCTTGCTTTTGAGATAAATAAAGAAAAAGAAATAAAAAATAAAAATAAGACAAAATGAGGGAGACCCGCTGGCCAGCCGGGCCCGCAAGTGGGTCGGAAGCTCAGTCGGGTAGTAGTCGCGAGTAGGGGCTCAAGTGACTTGGACCGATAGGGGCACGTGTGCGCCACTCCCCTTCCACGTCACCGGTGGCCAACTAGCTAGGGGACAAAAAGTGGTTGTACACACGAGAGAAGGGACTTTGCTTAGAAATCTAACATTAGTATATATTCGCCCGAAAAATCGGCGCACAATTGATGTGGGACTAAACCCGTGTCACACCTTCCTTAGAAGAGGCAGGCAACCGGCGGGGGTTCGAGTCCTTCTAGAGTCAAAAGTCATATATTTTTATCTGATTATTGTGACTTTCTTATAGATCGCCAGTGAAGGATTAAGTAATGAGAATCGCTGGATCATCGGCGAAAATCTCGTCAATGCGATTCACAAAGCATTGCTACTAAAATTGTTGAACGATTTGCGATAAAAGGATCGCGAATCTATCAAGTAAATCATCTCCGATTGATCAACAAACAAGCCGTCGTCGGAAAGAGGACGATCTGCTGGGAGACGAGTCGCCACCTCCTGAGAGCGTATTGGATGTGATGAAGAGCCTCCTCTTGTTGTGCGGAGCTGAGGATGAAGCTCCCTAACACACGCCCCACCTCCATCCAGCTCTTCTCTATCGGGTGACAACCGCCGGAGAGCTGCAAAGTCGTCATTTTTCCACTCCACCAGGTGACAGCCGTTAGAAACGACTCGATGACCCATTTCATTAATCTCTAGACTTCACGACAAGATCTAGAGATTGCCCACGTCGTCTTTGTCCAAGGAGAGCCTTCAAGGCCATGGACACTGCATGACGATCCTCCCAAACGCTCAGGATTCCGATACATCGCCAATGCATTACCGTCACGATGTCGGAACTCTATTTTCCTACTTTCAACTTACTTTACACTTCATTTAGTGATAATTTTTGTGATTTTAATTTACCAAGATATACTTCGTTCAATTACGATTCTTCCGACTTTTACAGATCTTAATTTGATTGATTAAATCATCTGTAATCGCTTACGTAAAAATTGTTGGGTGGAACTCTATTTCTGCTCAATTCACGTTCGCTGGGTGCTGACGTCTGCACCCTTATTTCCCTTTTTTGTGAATTTTAAATATATTTTCTTTTTATTTCTTAGTATAAAATTCATAGAAAATCGTATTCATTGAGAAAAATTCTGAATAATTACCAGATATTATATTACATCCCTCTGATCGATATGGAAAATTATTGCCATTTTTTAGAAGTTTTATTGAATTATAATTGATATATTTGTTCAGAAATACTTCTAAATATCTGAAAAATTGTATTTTTTAGTTTTATAAATTTTAGATTTGCGTGATTTAATATACAATGACTGAGTCACGTTAGTCGCCATTCGTTGCTCTGCCCAATCACTGGCCGTTCGTCGACGAACACCTACCTGCCGCCGATGTCGAGAGAGACCTTGTTGCCGTGCCGACGAGCTAGATCCAGTCAAAGCTCCTCACAAGCCCCCACTAGAGTTTCCCGATGATCTACCGCCATCATGCCATTTCCAACACTGCCTAAACCAGGAGGGCTCAACCCTCCTTGGTATCGTCGACCAGATCGCCTCCATCCTCTGCTCCACTTCTCGGTGCCGCCCGCCAAAGAAGGCCAATCCTTCCAGCGACGGTTGGGTTTCCGCCCAACCGCCGACGCTTGGCATTCCCGCCAAAGCACCGTTGACACTCGGCACTCTTGCCAAAGCACTGTTGATGCTCAGCATTCCCGCCAAAGCGCCGTTGATGCTCGGCACTCCCGCCAAAGTGCCGCTGATGCTTGGCACTCCTACCAAAGTGCCGCTGACACTCGCCATTCCTGCCAAAGTGCTGGCACTGTGCATGCCCTACGTACCGGCACCTGTGGCCCGCGTGCCGGCACCTATGGCCCGCGTGCCGGCACCTGTGGCCCATGCACCAACCAGGTGCCGCCGCCCACGTGCCCTAAGACACGCTGCGCAACTTGTCGCGCGCGTCCACTAGCATGCCCTTCGGCCCACCAATGGGCCCACTCTCGATCCGACCGTGCCACGTCTTACGACGATGACTACGGCAACTCTCGACCAAGACCGACTGTCGACGCTGAGCATCGCTCTTCACCGGATGTCTCTGCTTACGTCGAGTCTCTGCTCCATCACGACCCGCTGGGCTACATAGCCCGAAGGTTAGCTCCGTACCCCTTCCTCTTAAGTTTAATTATCTTTCGAAGGGTTTTCTTGGCTCGTTTTCACCGTCATCAGGAGAACGTAGATAGGATAGGATGGGTTATCAGATCATGACTTCCAACACTGCGTCAAACTCGTCACCGTTCATGAGCTGCAGCCCTAGGCTACTTCACGACGACCGTTCCACTGTCTGTCCGAATGTGGACCGAGAGGGCCTCACACTTACCATCGTCGAGTGTTTTCCCGGGTTGTCTTGGGTTGATCATGCATATTGGTATGCCTGCCTATACTTAGGTTACGTGGTCAGACCTAGAGTCTAGGGTCCATACATTCTGACCAGATTGATCTGACTACCCCATCCCGGGTCTTGAGTTTCATTGATCAGGTACAAGGATCTCACCTTGTCCTACATCAAATTGGTATCAGAGCCAGGTTGGGTTACCACCTAACCTCAATCCCCTAAGGATGCTCACCGAGCTTCCATACCACTAGTAGACTATTCATATAGAATTGCATTGGCATCTAGGCACCCATAGGACCTAGCCATGATAGAGACATGTTGAGCTAGAGCTCGAGGAGGTTCACCATCGTCACGGCACTCGCGTGAGGCCTCAGATCCCACAACTCTCCAAGTAGCTAGAGTGGACACAAGTCTACCATCTCCGTCAAGACCAACGGATTCGGTACCAGACCCCTCCTGACCCAGGGAGACTCCGAGCCCTATGTCGACCGGAGAGGCATCAAGGCAGCCCCAGCCACCTTCGGCTACGAGCCGCCGAGCTGGGAAGGAATCTGCACCCTACTATCCACCGAAGAGTACTAGGGGTCTTGGTAGAGGTGGCTGCCGGCAACCTTCGCCCCAGTACCTTTCGAGGGATGGAGTGCGCTCCCTCCTAGATGATGTCATGTATAGCATGACCCAGGCTATTGAGCATGTGGAGCGAGCTACCTTTATAGCCACAACTCATGGCCCACCGCCACCGGCTTCACTGCCGGTCACGTATCTGGTCACACCACCGACCACACTACCTGTTACACAAGCATATCAAGAGCATCGCGAGCCCCGCGGTCGCATGAGCCCCTATAGTGATCCATATGAGCACCAGTACCTCGATCACGATCATTGTCGATGGAATCTTCGTCGCCGTGACGCACCTTGTCACGACGATGGCCATGATCGATTGGGCAATCATTGGTCACAAGATACTTATGATCGCCGCAAGCCAGTCTACTTGGCTTGTAGGGATGATCTCCTACATCCGCCACCACCACCACCCCAACCCCACTACGAAGACTATCGACCCCACAGATGCGACCAGGGACACGACAAGAGAGACCTTTCGAGTTACATAGCTGATCCTTCCCGATGAGAGAAGCTCGATCAGCGAGCAAAGTGTCAGCCACAAGATCACGATGATTCATATCGCGACTACTAGCATGCTCTAGACTTTCACTGAGCACCCTAGGACGCCCATTAGGATCAATACTACCATCAAGGGCATTTCTGAGTCCTCCCCACTGTGACTTTGGTGGTGACCATAGGGCCGATCGATTGGATGATCGGGACAGGCAACGTGAGGATCACAAGCCCTGCATACTGAAAAGTGTGCGCATTGATGTAGTAGTCTTTGATGGCTCCTGTGAGCCCAAGGACTTCATAGATTGGGAGTCTTGTATGAACTCCTATTTTTGGTGGTACCGCATAGATGATGATTTATGCATAGAGTATGCGGAGATGAGACTTGGCAGATAGGCCAAGATTTTTTGGGAAAATGAGAGCTACGCGGCACACTGACGAAGGCAGCCCATCACATCATAGGTTGATATGGCATCACGCTTAAGGAACAAATATGTCCCTCAGTAGTACAAGTCGACGTTGTTCCTCAATTGATTAGACCTTCGACAAGGCAAGATGTCCGTTTGAGACTACATTCAAGCTTTTGAGGAGTGCCGCATGAGGTGTGGCTTTGTCGAGGACTCACATGTGGTTTGGGGCATTTTCACCCACGAACTTAGTCCGTGGCTTCGAAACAAGGTGCTGAAAAGCAACTCATCTGAAGTAGACGAGGCCTACTGCATAGTAGAGCATATGGAGCAACCCGCCGAGGACACATAGTTCACCCCACCTCTGATCACCACGAAGATCGTGTCCACGCAATCTACACAGACACCGACAATAGCACCGACGCGTACTAGCATAGGGAACAGACAAACTACACCGGCGACATCAGTAGGGTCTGCACCACCCCCGCGTCTGCCACCAGCCGACGCAACCGACCATGCCACGGCCGCGTCCTAAGCCCATATCACTTGTTTCAAGTGTAAGGGTAAGGGGCACCGAATGAGTCAATGCACATCTTCGAATCTTCTCATAGAGATTGAAGAATTGGGTAGTGGTTCACACGAGGATGATGTCCCTGTAGGCGATGATGTCTACATTGTTGACGAGGGTTTGGCCGAGTGTGATGACATTCCTGATTTGATTGGTTACATCCAAATCCGGCCAGCCACCGTACCAGCAGCCGAGGCTGCCTCTCTTGCTGCCTCATCAACGAGCACTTCATCGAGGGGGCTGGTCAGCATCACTGTCCAACGTCCATCTCAAGATGCGGTTCCTACACCACAGCTAGACACCACGGCAGCTAGAGAGATCACCCCGGCACTGAGGATGACTATGCCCACATCTTCGCCTACGACAAACGATTCCCTTCGCACGTCGATCTTCTACACCTATGTGAAGATCAACGGACATGCGTGCAAGGTGATCGTGGACAGTGGGGCAGTTGCGTCAATGCTGTGTCAGACTAGGTCTTGCAGAGGGCAAGGTTGAGTACTATCAGCCATCTAGCCCCTTACGACGTATCGTGAATAGATGCTACCGCCCTACCCGTTCATCAACAGTGTCAAGTGCCACTTAGGGTGAGCACCTATGATGAGCACATCTTGTGTGATGTCCTTCTGATGAAAATCAGCGGCATCATACTTGGACGGCCTTAGTTGTTTGACTATGACGTCCAACTCATGGGAAGAGCAAACACTTGCTCTTTCATGTATATAGATCACCGACTTGTTTGGTATCCACATTCCAACAAGTTCACGCCGAAGCGTGACCCTAAGTCACATATTGGGTTAATCGTGATGAAGGGACCTACTTTTCAGCACGAGATCACGTCGGACATTGATAGATCCCTGACGTACTTTGCTCTCGCTTTGGATATGCGAGATGACATGACCCTTAACCCGCCTTCTCTAGAAGTGGAGGGTATGTTATTGGAGTACGTCGACGTACTCCTAGAGGAGCTTCCTAGAGAGCTGCCTCCATTGAGGCACATTCAGCATGCTATCGACTTGGTTCCTAGAGCATCACTCTCGAACCTGCCGCACTATCGCATGGAGCCGGCCAAGTACGAGGAGCTTAGCTGACAGATACAAGAGCTTTTGGACAAGGGACTCATCTAGCCAAGTCTTAGTCCCTGCACTGTGCCTGCATTACTAGCACCGAAGAAGGATGTTGCGACAATCGCATGATCAATAGGATAATGGTTAAATACCATTTTCTGATCTCGCGATTAAAGGATTTATTTGACATGATGACAAGAGTCACTATCTTTTCAAAGATAGATCTACGTAGTGGTTATCATCAGGTCAGGATACTCCTAGGGGACGAGTGGAAGACCGTCTTCAAGATCAAGGAGGGCTTGTATGTGTGGAAGGTCATGCCATTTGGCCTCTCCAACGCGCCCAGTATGTTCCAGAGGCTAATGAATGAGGTTTTACGCCCGTTCATTAGCAAATTCGTCATAGTATACTTCAACGACATCTTGGTCTACAGCATTACCCGAGACTCCCACCTCTAGCACTTATGACAAGTGTTTGAGGCACTTTGACAGGAGAAGCTTTATGCCCATTGACATGACTCAGTTATTGTATATTAAATCACGCAAATATAAAATTTATAAAATTAGAAAATATGAATTTTTAGATATTTAGAAGTATTTTTAAATAAATATATCAATTATAATTCAATCCAAAAATAGCGGTATTTTTCTAGGTCGATCATAGGGATGTAATATAATATCTGGTAATTATTCAGAATTTTTCTCAATGAATATAATTTTCTATGAATTTTATACTAGGAAACAGAGTTCCGCTCGACGATTCTTACATAAGCAATTACAGATGATTTAATTGATCAAATTAAGATCTGTAAAAGCCAAAAGAATCGTAATAGAACAAAGTATATTTTGGTAAATTAAAAACACAAAAATTATCACTAAATGAAGCGTAAAGTAAATTGAAAGAAGGAAAATAGAGTTCCGACGTCGCGACGGCGATGCGTCAGCGATGCATCGGAATCCTGAGCGTTCGGGAGGATCGTTGTGCAATGTCACGGCCTCGAAGGCTCTCCTTGGACAAAGACGACGTGAGCAATCTCTAGATCTTCTCGTGAAATCTAGAGATCAATGAAGTGGGTCATCGAATCGTCTCCGACAGCTATCACTTGGCGGATCAGAAAAACGGCAACTTTGCGGCTCTCTGGCGGCTGTCACCTAACGAAGAGGAGCTGGATGGAGGTGGGGCTCATGTCAAGGAGCTTCATCCTCAGGTCTGCACAGCAAGAGGAGGCTCTTCATCGCATCCGGTACGCTCTCAGGAGGTGGCGACTCGTCTCTCGGCGGATCGTACTCTTCTCGACGACGGCTTGTTCGTCGATCAATCAGAGATGGTTTGCTCAATGGATTCGCGATCCTTTTATCGCGAATCGTTCAGCAATTTTAGTAGCAATGCTCCGCGAATCACGTAGACGAGATTTTCGCCGATGATCCAACGATTCTCGTTGCTTAATCCTTCATCGACGATCTGTAGGAAAGTCACGATAATCAGATAAAATTATATGAATTTTGACTCTGGGAGGATTCAAACTCGCACTGGTCGCCCGCCTCTAAGGAAGGTGTGACGTGGGTTTAGTCCCACATCGGTTGTGTGGCGATTTTTCAGGCGAATATATAGTAATATTAGCTTTCTAATCAAAGTCTCTTCTCTCACGTGTACGACCACTCCTTGCCCCACAACTAGCTGGCCACTAGTGACGTGGAAGGGGAGTGGCGCACACGTGCCCCTATCGGTTCAAGCTAAGCCGCTTGAGCCCCTGCTCACGGCTACTCCCCGACTGCGCTTCTGACTCGCTCGCAGGCCTGGCTGGCCGGCGGGTCCCCCTTTTTTGCAATATTTTTATTTTTATTTCTTGTTCTTCATTTATCTCAAAAGTAAGACTGTAAAAATCGTATAAAATCACATAATTACCCAAAAATTCACGTTAATCAACTGAAAACCACAAATCATACTTTAACACAAATATAAGTCTATTTATCATGAGTTAAGGCTAAAACTATATTATTTACTAATTATTAACTCATGATAATGAAGACTTATCACCCATCCTAAGAAGTGTAGTTTCTTCACTTCTGAGGTTATGTTCCTCGGTTTTGTCATCTCTGAGCGAGGAGTTTCCGTGGACCTCGAAAAGGTCCGCACGATAGTCACCTAGCCACAGCCAGGTAGCATGCATGACATCTGGAGCTTCATTGGACTAGCAACATTCTACTGTCACTTCATTCAGGACTTTAGTTCCGTCACCACTCTACTTATTGATTGCCTCAAGAAGGAAACCTTCTTTTGGATAGAGGCAATTGAGCAAGCCTTCGATCGAGTGAAGGCTCTTATCACTCAGGCACCGATACTTCCTCTAATTGACTTCGGCAAGGTATTTGAGGTCGCTTGTGATGCCTCAAGCATCGGTATTGAGGGTGTCCTTAGCCAAGAAGGCCATCCCATAAAGTACTTTAGTGAGAAGCTGAATGACATGAGGCTTAGATACTCCACTTACGACCGTGAGTTTTACGCCATCATTTAGGCTCTCAAACACTAGTGCCATTACCTCCTTTATAAGGAGTTTGTGCTCTTCTCAAACCATGAGGCCTTGAAGTATCTGCACTCTCAGTAGAAGCTGAGCAATTGACACGCTCGATGGGTTGAGTACTTGTAGGACTTCACCTTCATCTTTCGCCACAAGAAGGGCAAGGAGAACGTGATGGTAGACACCCTCAGCCGACGAGTCCACTTGCTGAACCTCGTGAAGGTTCAGGTGACAGGATTTGAGTCCCTACCGAATTCTTACGCAGATTGCCCAGACTTCGGCCACATTCTACGAGCACTTTTAGATGGTCTATCCCAAGATCATAAGGACTTCCTTGTGGTCAATGGATGTCTGTTCTTTAGGAGCAGACTGTGCATTCCATGTACATCCCTCCGTGACTTCCTCACTTAGAAATGTCACGTAGGAGGTTTATTCGACCATTTTGGTTGCAATAAGACCATCGCAGCAGTCGAGTACCAATTCTACTGGCTGACCCTCAAGCGTGATGTAAGAAACATCGTCGCTCAGTGTCAAGTGTGCGCACTTGCCAAGTAGGTAAAGTAAAGAAGAATGTTGGACTCTACACGCCACTTCCAGTGCCGACCTGCCCATGGGATGATGTCAGCATGGACTTCGTTTTGGGACTCCCACGTAGTGCACGACGACATGACTCGATCATGGTGGTCATCGATAGGTTTTCAAAGATGGCACACTTCGTGCCATGTTCGAAAACCTTTGACACCTCCAAGGTTGCTAGCCTCTACTTTAGAGACATTGTGTGCCTCCAAGTCTATAGTCTCAAACCGTGATGTATGATTTACCAACCACTTCTAGAGGACTCTTTGAAGCTTACTTGGGACTAAGCTCAAGTTCTGCACTGCTTACCATCCATAGACTGACAGCTAAATTGAGGTCGTCAATCGTAGCTTAGGGAATCTACTTCGGTCATTAGTCAGGGAGAGCTTGACCACTTGGGATCTGATCATACCACATGCCGAGTTTGCCTATAACTCCTCGACCAATCATACCACTAGCATGAGCACCTTTGAGATCGCACACGGCTTAGCACCCCGCAAGCCCTAGATCTAGTACCCCTAGACCCTCATGTTAGAGTTTTCAAGGATGGTGTCACATTTGCCCATATTTTAGTCAGTTGCATCAAGACATCCATGATAGAATACAGAGTTAGAATACATTGTACAAGTAGGCTGCCGATATGTATCGTCGACCTCGGATCTTCTAGGTGGGAGACCAGGTTATGGTGAGGATCAAGCTAGAGCATTATGCTCTTGGCTCTGCTATGAAGCTTCACACTCGTAGCGTCGGCCCATTTCGTGTTCTTTCCTAGATAGGCGAGAACGCTTATGTCATCGACATCCTTCCTTCGCAAGGGATTAGCTCCACATTCAACGTGACGGATCTGACATCACACCAAGCACCACCTCTTTCATTTGACATCGAGCCCTCGTCTACCGGCCCCTTCTCTAAGAGAGAGTTTACCATGGAGTTCACTCCCCTCATTTTATCACCTAATTGGCACGAGCGAGTCGAGGAGATTCTTCAAGAGGTAATTGACTTTATACGGGATGGAGTTTCACGAAGATTTCTAGTACATTTGTAGGGTCGCCTGTCGGAGGAACGATGCTTAGATTTCGGAAGCGTACCTGGAGTGACTACGACTAGATCTACTAGAGCCCCTGCCTTCCCCACTTGTCAACTCGTTAGAGTCGAGTTCTTTCAACCTCAGGAAAATTGATGGTGAGCGGGACTTGTCTCCATCAGCTCAAGAGACACCGGCAATCCGAGTTCAGCCCAATCGAAGCGTGAAGACAAAGGAGCCTAGCTTTCGCTACACAGCCTAGCCCTTCAAGACAATGACATTCCACCTCTGCGACGACGACAAGCTCGAGCTCACCCTTATTTTCTTTGTATTTTCACGTTGACTTGTTGGGTCTTGCATTTGTGTGTTAGCGGGCCTAATTTTATGCGTGTGTTGTTGTTTGTGTCTCCCTTTCTTTAGGGTTTAATTGGGTCTCTCTTTTGAGGCCCAATTAAAACCCTAAGGGGGGGGACCTATGCTTCTTTCCTTTTGGGCTTCTTTTGAGGCTTATTTGGGTCTTCATTTGAGGCCCACTTAAGCACCGTATGAAGGCCCTCCTCTTTCTCCTTTTAAGGGAGCTTATTGGGTCTCTCTTTTAGAGGCCCAATAAGCCCCTTTTGTAGCCATATTAGGGTGGGTAGGACCCCCCCTCAAGGGAGAGACGAATTTTGTGAGAAATTATTGTTTGTGAGATACCTTCTTCATGACCTAAGATAGGGAGGGAAGGAGAGAGAGGAAGGCTGTCGATACCCTGACGACTTTCGTTCATCGTGACGCTGCTGCCGGAGAAGTCCCGCCGCCGCTTGAGACCACTACCACTACTGTACATCTTCATTGCCTCCCGTGAGATCGCCGCCATCACTGGACAAAATGGTTGCAGTTGCTGCTGCAGCCGCCGCCACCTCAGCTAGAACCCCGTCATGCTGTCGTGACGAAAGGGGCTCGCTTTGCCTCCATATGAGTCGTGACCGAGCACTTTGCTGGAGTCTCTCGACTCCTAGTTCGACTGCCACCTCTTCCTTCGGAACTCCACCATAAACTCGCCAGAGTCGCTGATAAGTCTTCATTATCATGAGTTAATAATTAGTAAATAATATAGTTTTAGCCTTAACTCATGATAAATAGACTTATATTTGTGTTAAAGTATGATTTGTGGTTTTTAGTTAATTAACATGAATTTTTGGGTAATTATATGATTTTATATGACTTTTACAGTCTTACTTTTTGAGATAAATGAAGAACAAGAAATAAAAATAAAAATATTACAAAAAGGGGGGACCCGCCAGCTAGTCAGGCCTGCAAGGGGGTCAGAAGCGCAATCGGGGAGTAGCCTCGAGCAGGGGCTCGAGCAGCTTAGCTTGTACCGATAGGGGCACATGTGCGCCACTCCCCTTCCACGTCACTGGTGGCCAGCCGGCTGTGGGGCAAGGAGTGGTCGTACATGCGAGAGAAGGGACTTTGCTTAGAAAGCTAACATTACTATATATTCGCCCAAAAAATCGGCGCACCACTGATGTGGGACTAAACCCACGTCACACCTTCCTCAGAGGCAGGCGACCGGCGCAGGTTTGAGTCCTTCTAAAGTCAAAAGTCATATATTTTTATCTGATTATCGCAACTTTTCTGCAAATCGCCGGTGAAAGATAAAGTAACGAGAATCACTGGATCATCGGCAAAAATCTCGTCAATGCGATTCGCAGAGCATTGCTACTAAAATTACTGAACGATTCGCGATAAAAGGATCGCGAATCTATCGAGTAAATCATCTCCAATTGATCAACGAACAAGCCGTCATCGGGAAGAGTACGATCCGTCGGGAGACGAGTCGCCACCTCTTGAGAGCGTACCAGATGCGATGAAGAGCCTCCTCTTACTGCGCAGACCTGAGGATGAAACTCCCTAACATGCGCCCCACCTCCATCTAGCTCCTCTTTGTCAGGTGACAGCCGCCGAAGAGCCGCAAAGTCGCCGTTTTTCTGCTCCACCGGGTGACAGCCACCGAAAACGATTCGACGACCCACTTCATTGATCTCTAGACTTCGCGAGAAGATCTAGAGATTGCCCATGTCGTCTTTGTCCAAAAAGAGCCTTCGAGGCTGTGGACACTGCACAACGATCCTCCCGAATGCTCAGGATTCCAATACATCGTCGACGCATCGCCATCGCGACGTCAGAACTCTATTTTCCTACTTTCAATTTACTTTACGCTTCATTTAGTGATAATTTTTATCTTTTTAATTTACCAAAATATACTTTATTCTATTACGATTCTTTCTGCTTTTACAGATCTTAATTTGATCAATTAAATCGTCTGTAATCGCTTACGTAAGAATCACCGGGCGGAACTCTATTTCCGCTCGATTCGCGTTTGCCGGGTGCTGATGTCATCCTGACATCCGCGCCCTTATTTCCTTTTTTCGTGAATTTTAAATATATTTCTTTTTTATTTCCTAGTATAAAATTCATAGAAAATCGTATTCATTGAGAAAAATTCTGAATAATTACCAGATATTATATTACATCCCTACGATCGACTTGGAAAATTACTACTATTTTTGGAAGTTTTATTGAATTATAATTGATATATTTATTTAGAAATACTTCTAAATATCCGAAAATTTGTATTTTCTAGTTTTATAAATTTTATATTTGCGTGATTTAATATACAACGACTGAGTCACGTCAGTCGCCATTCACCGCTCCACCTAGTCGCTGGCCGTTCACCGATGAACGCCTACTTGTGGCGACGTCGGGAGACCCCCTACTACCGTGCTGACAAGCCAGATCCAGTCCAAGCTCTTCATAGGCCCCCACCGGAGTTTCCTAACGATCTGCCGCCATCACGCCATTTCCAGCACCACCTAGACCAGGAGGGCTCAACTCTCCTTGGTATCATCAGCCAGATCGGCTTCGTCCTCTACTCCGCTCCCTGGCACCGCTAGAGAAGGCCGATCCTTCCGGCAACGGTTGGGTTTCCACCCAACTGTCGACACTCGGCATTCCCACCGAAGCGCCGTCGACGCTCGGCACTCCTGCCGAAGCGCCATCGATGCTCGGCACTCCTGCTGAAGTGCCATTGACACTCGACACTCCTGCTAAAGCACCGCTAACACTCGGCATTCCCGCCGAAGCACCGCTGACACTCGGCATTCCCGCTGAAGCGCTGCTGATGCTCGACACTCCCGCCGAAGTGCCGCTAATGCTTGGCCTCGGCATTCCCGCCGAAGCACCACTAACACTCGGCCTTCCCGCCGAAGCACCAATGCTGCACGCACCCTGTGCACCCACTAGGTGCTGCCGCCCGTGTGCCCTGAGACATGCCGCACAACTTGCCGCTCACATCTGCTAGCGTGCCCTTCGGCCCACCAGCGGGCCCACTCCTGATCTGACCGTGCCACATCTTATGACGACGACTACGGCGACTATCGACCAAGACCGATTGTCGACATTGAGCATCGCTCTTCACCGGATGTCTCTACTTATGTCGAGTCTCTGCTCCATCACGACCTGCTGGGCTACATAGCCTGAAGGTTAGCTCCATACCCCTTTTTCTTAAGTTTAATTATCTTTCGAAAGGTTTTCTCGGCTCATTTCCACTGCCATCAGGAGAACGTTGACAAGATAGGACGGGTTATCAAATCGTGACTTCCAACACTACGTCAGACTCGTCACCATTCGTGAGCTACAGCCTTAGGCTACTTCACGACGACCGTTCCGCTGTCTGTCCGGACATAGACTGAGAGGGCCTCACACTTACCATCATCGAGTGTTTCCCCGGGTTGTCCTAGGTTGATCATGCATATTGGTACGCCTACCTGTACTTAGGTTATATGGTCAGACCTAGAGTCTACGGTCCATATATTCTGACTTGATCAATCTGACTACCCAATCTTGGGACTTGAGTTTCATTGATTAGGTACAAGGATCTCGCCCCATCCTACATCACTTGGATTCACTGAATCCGGTCCCAATACGGAATTCAATATGATGAAACGGGCGCATCACTCATTGCTTTCCAATTCGATTCATCTTTCCTTTGTTGGAAGTATACACTATGTTACACAGTCATAATATTTTTCATCTTGTAAAAATAACTATAACTTTTCTACTTCAAGGACAATTATCATACCTAAAATGATATATTCTGTAGTAATAGACTGCTTTTGATATTCCACTAGTTCCAAAATCAAAGTCTTCTACCTTTTGATTTAAGCGAAGAGATTGGGGTTTATTTTGCCATGTTAGATTCAGGCCATGGCTGTGTAAATTGAGTTTGCCATTCCAGTACAGTGGCTTCTTCAGCCATTGGTGGGCATGGACCCTAACCCCACCATCGGTGACCACGACATCATTGGACTCCACGTCACCTCCTCTAGAGACCCCACAAACTATTGAGGCCACTCCATGTTGCCACCGGCAGACCTGAGCTCTAGATCCGAACTTCTATTACTATTAAGATTTACCCATATTTAATTTCCTTTTATTTACCTTAGGTTGTAATACTCTCTCTCCTCTCAAGGCCTATAAATAGGCCCAATTGCCGACATCGATTGACATAAAACTCCCTATCGGCACCGTTGCCGTCCTCTCCCTTTTTGTCTAACTCTCCTTTCGCTGCTATGTGAAGACTCCCAAAATTTGAGATTTTTCTGCTTCCTTTATGGGCAATTTAAAGATACATCAACTGTCACATCTCGACCTAGTTCACACCTAGTAAGAATGCTTCTTGCTGCAGGTCAAAATTTCAATGGTTGACGAAACATCAAATTGACTCATTTTCTATTAAAATATGAATATTGATCACATGGACACTATTAATTCAATCTCAACCTTAAGGCTTTCACGATGAGGTGGAGACCATCTTGAACTAGGGAAAAATATCATATTTTGTAGGAAAAATATACAAACATAGAATCATAATAATAACAAAAACTCAATTTCTAGATATCAATAAGAACAAATAGAAGAGAAATCACCAAGTTATTAGAAATCCTAATGAGAACAAGACTTTCATCGAGTACCTCTAATCCACATCTCAATACTCTCAAGATAACTCACACATTAGAGAGTCAACAATAGACTCTTATCTCCTTTTATAAGGACTTCACCTACAATAAAAGAAAGAGAAGATATCAAAAAAAAGAATAAAGTTTAATGAAGAAAGATAATAGAATCAAGAGAGAAATCATCATCTGTCGTACTCAAAAAAGAGTAAATACATGTCTTAATTATAGAAAATAAGAAAATTTAACCATTCTTTAAAAGAAACCATCTTGATCTACATATAACTGAACTCACACATCTCAGATGAGACGGCTATAGCTACCCGCATTCTCTCTACATGACCCCCGAACGAGTTTTATGAGTCGACGTGACTACCATGTCACTACCCTCTTACTCCTCGCATGCCTTCAAAGTGAGTTAGACATGAGAGCTCTCTCTTAGTCTCCCAAACGGTTGAGATGCGGGAGAGGTTCTCTCGCATGTTTCTCGAACAGGTCAACCGTGATAAACTAACACTATCAACAAACTCCACCTTCGTAGCCATCATCATTGCACCTGGAGTCAATGTCTATTCATGCAAGTTCTCCACCTTCTGTAAGGTACCTACAATATGAATCAAATTCAAACAATATTTGAACTTCTCTAATGTGACAATCTTTGTCAACCTATCCATGATATTCTCTTCTATGTGAACCTTCTCTAGAGAGATATCTCTAGAATTCACCAACTCATGAATCTTGTGATATTGCACATCAATATACTTCAATTGTGTATAATAGACTTGATTATTTACTAAGCAAATAATACTTTGACTATCATGATATAAAGGAACTTCACCTTATTTGATCCCAAGTTTACTCAATAATTTCTTCAACCACAAATACTCCTTAGCCACTTCAATAGCTACCATATACTCTACCTCAATTGTAGACAATGCAATAGTAGTCTAAAGTGTAAACTTCTAACAAGTCCATCAATCATGGTAAAAATATATCACATATTAGATCTTCGATGGTCTAAATCTTTGACAAAATCTACATCAATAATGCCAATAGTAGAAAGACAACTTTTTCAGTCAAAATGGATTATGAATCTAAAGAACCTTTTAAATATTAGAGAATCCACTTCACTACGTTGTTTCTTTCCTAACTGTCCATAAACCTACTCGCAAGTTCAATTGCATGAGCAATATCTAATTTGGTACAAACTATAGTAGACATGAGAGAGACAACCACACTAGCATAAATAATTTACTTCATCTTAATAATATCTTTCTAAGATGTCAAATAAATCCACTGAATAGTACATAATTAGAAATGACTAGCCAGAAGAGTGCTCACTATTTTAACATTACTTATGTCAAATGAATCCACCACCTTTGAAAGATAACTCCTCTAATTCAATCAAAATTGACCTAACTCTTAGTCTCTATGAATCTCTATTTTAAGAATCTTCTTTGCCACACTAAGATTCTTCATATCAAATTAGTTGTCTAATAGTGCCTTTAATTTAGTAATCTTATGTGAATTCTTCAAAAAAATAAATATATCATCAACATAGAACATCAAAATAATTAAAGAATCAACATCACAAGTCTTCATATAAACACAACAGTTAAAATTGCACCTCATATAATCAATCTTCAACATATAAGAGTCAAACTTCTTGTATCATTGTCTTGATACATGCTTAAACTCATAAAGGGACTTCTTCAATTAACAAACAAGATGTTATGACTCTTGCACAGTAAAACCCTCCGACTACTACATGTAAATAGTCTCTTCTAAATCTCCATGAAGAAATAATGTTTTCACGTCCAACTACTCAAGTTCTATATCTTCATATGTGACAATGGCTAACACCAAATGAATAGACGTGTGCTTCACAATAGGTGAAAATATTTCTAAATAATCAATTCTCTACTTTTGTGTAAAGATTTTGACAACAAGCTTTATTTTGTACTGTGACTAATCACCATCAATTATCAGTGACTTCTTCATGTACACTCATTTACACTTAATAACTCTCTTTTCTATAAGAAAATCTACTAATTTTTTAGTGTGGTTCTTATCTAAGGATGTTCATTCCTCAAACATCACCTGTATTCACTTCTCCTTTCCATAACAACTAATTACCTCTTAAAAAGTTGTGGGCTCATTATCTATTGCAAATAATACAAAGATAATATAATCATCAAAAAGAGTGGGAGGTCTTACTTCACATCTACTCCTTATAGTAATAATATAATCAGGAATATTTGATGATTTTGTAACTTGATCTTCACTCACAACAAAATTAAGAAGACCCTGCACAATCTTCACCTCTAGTTTTAGTCTGTTTACAACTTGATTATCATTAGATTCTTGAATCTTGTGCTCTACATAAAATAACTCCAACATGTGATATTTATCAAAAATCACATCCCTACTTAAAATAACTTTCTTCACCTCTAAATCCCAAAATCAATATCCCTTCATGTCAGTACTATAGTCCAAGAAGATATATTTCTTTGACTTTAGATCTAGTTTCAATCTCTCATCAACAGGTGTAAATATATATCTTAGATATTTAAATATATACAAATTCAAATAGTCAACATGATTTTTAATCTATATTTCTTCAGCAACCTTCCCATCAAGAGCATAATTTGATAATCTATTCACCAAATAAGCTGCCACACTTAAAATAATTTTGGGCAAGTCGACATTCAATTGTAAACACCATGCTCTCTTAATAATCGTGTGGCTTATCCACTCAACAACATCATTTTGCTGTGGAGTCTTCTTCACTGTATAATGACATTGAATATCATGCTCATTACAAAATTGATCAAATTCAGAATTCCTAAATTATGTATTATTGTTAGTTTGTAAGATTTTGATCTTCCTCTCTATTTAATTCTCCACCTTCATACACCAAGTCTTAAACTTTGTAAATATTTCAGACTTATGATTCAAGAAGAATACTGAAAAAAAATTTAGAAAAATTATCAACAAAAGTCAGAAAATATTGAACATCACTCATTGACGTCACATCAATTAGA